AACCACAGCAACCTGAGCCTGACTGCTTTGTTGAAGCAGCCACTTAAAGAACTGAGCTAAGGGGCAGGACCCCGGTTGGTATGGTATGTTTTTGGTTACATTTTTAATTTCATTTCCTATTACTGGATTATTCAGAGTGTGTACATCTCCTTGACTCAGCTTTGGCAGTTCATATGTATCTAGGAATCTATTAATTTTCTTTGTATTTTCCATCCTGTGAGAGTAAAGATTTTGGAAGAAGGTATTAATGATCTTCTGAATTTCTCTAGGGAGTGTAATGATTTCACCCTCTTCATTTCTTATTGCATAAATTTGAGGGTTGTTTTCCTTTCTTGCCATTGGGTTGTTATCTCAGGTACTCTTCTCTTACTGCTGGGACAAATACCTGACACTCAAAATTAGGGAAGGAAAGGTTTATTTAGTTCATAGTGGAGGTTTCAGTCTATACTTGGCTGGCTCCAAAGCAGAGTGGCACATGGCAGTGGCAAAAAGCAGGAGAGCAAAGTGGAGTGGCAGCAACTCAGGTAGCTAGCTAGCCTCTGTCCCCTCCTTACATTGTAATGCTAATTACCTGCTCCAGGGCAGGTTCAGCCTCCACACCCAAAGTAATCAATTACAAACTCTAGAGCCCCCCCCCCCCTCGTGTGAGGCTTTGAGAGGACACCTATACACAAAATATAACAGTTGGCTAGGGGTTAATCAGTTTTATATATTCTTTTTTTTTTTTTCTGATTTATGTATTTGGTACAGGGTCTCACTACACAGCTCAGAGTTGGAGTGATCTTCCTGTTTTCAACCTGTTCAGTGCTGGGGTTACAGGTGTGTGCCAACATACCCAGACTTGTTGGCTGGCTCATTGTGCCCCAGGGGTGAGGCATGTATGACTGGGGATTGAACCCTGGTTCCTGCACTTGCCAAAGCAGGATCTTAGTCCGCTGAGCTATCTCACCAGCTCTCATTTTATATATTCTTTCAGAGAACCAAGTCTTTGATTTATTAATTCTTTGTATTGTTTTCTTAGTGTTCACTACATGTATTTCTGCTCTACTATTTATAGTTTCCTGCCTTCATTTGCCTTGCACTTGACTTGCTCTTCTTCTGTGAGCTTGAGGTGCTGCTTAAGATAATTTATTTGGGCTTGTTCTGGTTTCCTAGTGTGTGAATTTACTGCTATAAATTTCCCTCTTATGACAGTTTTCATTGTATCCCACAGGTTCAAATAAGGTGTATGATGGTGGTGTAGTCTTCTTTTGGATTCACCTGCTGGCCTCATGCAGTATGATCTACTAAAGTCTTTTGTCCCTTGGGGGAAAAATGTATTTAGTACAGGGTCTTCAGGGTTTCACTACACAGATCAGACTTGTAGTGATCCTCCTGTTTTCAGCCTCCCAAGCGCTGGGATTACAGGCGTGTGCCACCACACTCAATCTCAATGGCTGTCTCAGCACGCCCTGGGGGTGGGGCTGGCACAGCACACGGGATTGAACCCCAGTCCCTGGTCTGCCTAAGCAGGCGATTTAATCCCCTGTGCTATCTGACCAGTCTTTATGTCATTTGTTTTGACTCCTGCTGTTTCATTGACACCTGTTAGTCTTACATTATTTTTCTTTATTTCATCTTGTCAATGAAACAGCAGGAGTCAAAACAAATGACATAGTTGTGGAAGAAACTTTCAAATTACATGGATACCTCCAATGTCACACTTAATTAATTCCAAATTTATGTTCAAATGTTGCAGTTTGAGAACAGATCTCTTTTCCCTCCAAGAAATAATGGCAAACCAAATTATGGATTTTGAGGCCCAGAAATTACATTCATAAATTCCAGGACTTCAACACATTTTGCGATGATTTGTTTGATCTCTTTTGTGGTTCTTAGGGCTTTCCTGTAAGCTCTATTGTTGATATCACTAACCTTCTTTGTAGCTATGGTTCCAATATTTTATGCAAATAAGTGCAAATAAAAGCACAATAACAGTTTTTTTAAAAAAAATTAGTGCAGGGTCTACAGGGTGTACAGGGTCTCACTACATAGATTGGATTTGTAGTGATTTTCCTTTTTTCACCATCCCAAGTGCTGGGATGACAAGTGCGGGCCACCATGCCCAGCTTGCCTGGAGGGCAGGGCAGGCTGAGCCCTGGGGGTGGGGCCAGTGTGGCAGGCCAAGGATCCTCTGACCCCTGCCTCTGCCTAAGCAGGTGCTTTAATCTGCTGAGCTATTTGGCTGGCCCTCAGTAACAAATGTTTTAAGTCACACAGGCACTGTATGTTGGCTGGGAGAGACCTTCACTTAGACTGAAGTGACTAGACACAAAACAGGACTCACTCATCGCCCATACAAGGTTTTTCAAGTTGGATATTCAGTTCAGCTACTGAGCACAGTTACCAACAATGAGCAAGTTTTTTTTTTCTCCCCAAACTTTGTTGTTTCAGTAGTGGAAAGTTTGAGTTGTGAGCAGTTCAACAGCCTAGGGATCACTGTCCTTTACAAAGTGGTTATGCCATTTTCATTTCCATAGTCCATGTGTAACAGATCCATTTCTGTCATATCCTCACTGATACCTCACCACATAGGTAGTCTTTTTCCTTTTAATCATTCTGCTAGGTATCTCAGTAAGGTATTAATTTGCATTTTCTAAAGGCCTGAGTATGCTGAATGTGCTTTTATGTGTTTACTTGCTATATGTGTATATTCTGGTGTTCTGTCTGTTCAACTCTTTATTCTTCAAAGGGGGTTGTAATTGACTTTTGAGATTACTTTGCATATTCCAGAAGTAAACACTTTGTCAAATATTTGTAAATATTTACTCCAAGTGGTAGCTTGCCTTACTTTAAGAATATTTTCTAAAATTCTGAGTGTGGTGGCACACCCCTGTAATTCCAGCAGGGAGAGGCTTGAAAAACAGGAGGACCACTGTGAGTCCCAGCTGCATAGTGAGACCCCACACAAAATACATAAAAAAACTTCAAAAATCTTCTAAGGAGTAGAATATACACATTTTGATGAAATGCATTTTTATCATTTTATGCTTTTATGGAGTGTGCTTTTAGCCTAAAGTTACAAAGTTTTCTTCTAGTAGCTTTATAGTTTTAGCTTTTACATTGTCTATGATTCATTTTGACTTCCTGTTTTTGATATGTTGCAAGGTAGTATAGATTATAAGTCATTTATGTATTTTTATTCTTTTTTGTATTTAGTATATGTTTACAATTTAGATTGAACTCAGTGATCCTCCTGTTTACAGCCTCCTAAGTGCTGGGATTACAGGCATGTGCCACCATGCCCAGTCTCAATCACCATCTCAGTGTAACCTGGGGGCAGGGCCAGCATGGCAGGCCCGGGGATCAAATCCCTGACCCCTGTGTGTGCTTAAGCAGGCTCTTTAATCCACTGAGCTATTTGGCGAGCCCCTTATAAGTCATTTATTTAATTATTTTTATTTTATGTATTTAGTACAGGGTCTACAGGGTCTCACTACACAGATCAGACTCTTAGTGATTTTCCTGTTTTCAGCCTTCCAAGTGCTGGGATTATAGGTGTGTACTGCCATGCCCAGTTTCAGCTGTGCCTGGGACTGGCTACAGCATGCCTGGGGTCAAACCCAGGGTAATTGCGTCTGCCTAAGCATGCGCTTTAGTCTGCTGAGTTATCTGGCCAGCCCTACATCATTTATTTTAAAAATTTTATTTAATCAGTACATAAATTTGTATTAAAATCACACTATAGCCCATAAATATTTATGATTATTATGTTAGTTAAAAAAAACCTAAAAGCACTTTAAAAATGAAATAATTATAAACTGACAAAGTTTTATACCCAGTATAGTCCCATGTACTCTTTGATTTTTTTTTATAGTTGTGTCATGTTATAAGCTGTAGCACAGTATAAAAACCAGAATACTAATATTGCCATATTACCCCAAGAAACATGGTATCTGTGCAGGTGGGAGGCTGGGCATAGGGAATGGTGGGCTGAAGTGTGGCAAGAGAAACACATGTAGCTCAGTGATAGCTATGTGCTTTAGCACAAACAAGGCTGTTTTGGAGTCCCAGGACCACCTCCCCAAAATATTACTATCTGGGGTGAAAACCAATGAGAAACCAGATCCTGAACATGAAGAGAAATGCATTCATGAATGCTTAATTCTCTGATCACTGAACATACGGCTATGGACTGAGTACTTATCTATCTCCCATATTCATGTGTTAAAGCCCTGACCACCACTATGGCTGAGGATATAACTAAGGTTAAGAACAGAAGGTAGGACTTCGAACCAACGGGATTAGTGTCTTTAGTAGGAAATACACGTGGTAGTTTAAGAAAGATAGCCTTCTACAGGTCAAGAAGAGAAGTCTTACCAGACCCTGAATGTTGAAAAACGTTGATCTTGGACTTTAGCTTCCACAACTGTGAGAAGATAAATTTTTGTCATGTAGACTACCCAGTCTGTGGTATTTCATTATGGTAGGCTGAGGCACATACTCTTGATTTCAGTCTTTTGAAATGTGTTGAAACTTAAATACTTTTAGCTGAAGAGACACTGAATAATCCTTAAGTACAGTTAGTGTTCTGAAGAGTAACTGTGATAGTCAAGTTAGGATGAAATAGATTTTCAGTGTAAGAAAATAATTCGATTAATGCATATTAATGTCAAATTTATAACCATTTTCTATTTGCAGGAATGTGAATTGGACCCTTGTTGTGAAGGAAATACTTGCAAGCTTAAATCTTTTGCTGAATGTGCATATGGTGACTGTTGTAAAGACTGCCGGGTACGAATTCCTCTCTATTTAGGAACAAAAAGTAGAAAAAGAAAACTCTGTGTATCAGAATTTGTCTCCTAAGAGCTCTAAGACTAGATTATTTTTTATTATATAAGAACTGCTTTTACGCCACATGTTTGCAATTTTATTGTATTTGTTTATTTTTTATGTATTTGGTACAAGGTCTCTCTATGTGGCCCAGACTCATAGTAACCCTCATGTTTTTAGCTTCCCCAGCACTGGGATTACAAGTGTGTGCCACCATGCCTGGTCTCGGTCGCCTACTCAGTTAGCTGGGGGGTGGGGCCAGTGTGGCCTGTGGTGTCAGGGACCGAACCCTGGTCCCTGAGCTTGCCTAAGTAGGCATTTAATCCTCTGAGCTATCTCATCAGCCCCATATTTGCAATTTTATTTTTATATTTTATGTATTTAGTACAGGGTCTACAAGGCATCACTACACAGATTAGATTCATAGTGGTCCTCCTGTTTTCAGCCTCCCAATTACTGGGATTATAGGCACGTGCCACCATACCCAGTCTCAATTTTTGGTGTTTTGGGTTAGGGCCAGCACGACATGTGGGGGATCAAACCCCTAGTCCCTGTGTCTGCCTAAGCAGGTGCTTTAATCTGCTGAGCCATCTGGCCAGCCCCATATTTGCTTTTTTTTTTGTATTTCATACAGGTTCTACAGGGTCTCACTACATAGATCAGACTTGTAGTGATTCTCCTGTTTTCAGCCTCCCAAGCGCTGGGATTATAAGTGCATGCCATCATGCAGTCTCAGTCGCCATCACAGTGTACCCCAGGGGCAAGGCCCACATGGCACACTGGGGATTGAATCCCTGGCCCCTTTTTCTGCCTAAGCAGGCACTTTAATCTGCTGAGCTATCTGGCTGGCTCTTATATTTGCAATTTTAAAGCATGTTCTTTTATGTTAAATATTCTGTTAATTTTTTCTGAAGTTGAAACATTTTTAAAAAAAGTGTGATGTGGAATTGTTGAAAATAATTCAACAATGCCAAAATTAGAAAGTAAAGACTGTCTCATTTTATATTCATCAAATAGCCATTGTTGATAATTTGCTACTTTTTTCTATACAGATATAAAGGTATGAGTGTGTGTTTCTATGTAAACAGATACAGTACAAATATTTTTATTCATAGACTTTTCTGCAGTCATGTAGTACCACATGGTTATGTAGTTACTATTCCTTTGGGTGGCTGCATCATAGTATATCTATAATCAACTGCTAGTGGGCATTTAGTTTGCTTCCAGTTGTTGTTTATAAGAGAAATCATTTAGTAAGTATTTGCATATTCAAAATATTGACACACATTATAAATCTTCCACAAATGTACCACTCTATACTTCCGTAATATAGTTTTATTTATTTAATGTTAGTTAGTAGCAAGTACTGTAATTTTAGTGAGTGTGATAATATAAAATGTTCTAGGATTTTTATTCAATTTGCATTTCCTTTGGTTGCCAATGAAGTTAGTTTTTCATTTTCTGTATTTATAATGTTTGTATTGCCTATTATTGGCTTTCGTTCATTTTGATGTGAGTTAATCTTTTGTTATTATTAAAATCCTTGGTTGTTATAAAAATACTGTGGTCTTGAATTTATAGAAACTGTCCTGATATTCCTATTTAATTTGAATTTTATCACCCTAGTTCCTTCCAGGAGGTTCTTTATGCCGAGGAAAAACTAATGAATGTGATGTTCCAGAGTACTGCAATGGCTCTTCTCAGTTCTGCCAGCCAGATGTTTTTATTCAGAATGGATATCCTTGCCAGAACAACAAAGCATATTGTTACAATGGCATGTGCCAGTATTATGATGCTCAGTGTCAAGTCATCTTTGGTTCAAGTAAGAAATTTATAATTGATTGATTTTATTTTCCTTTGACTTTTAAAGAAGGGAAATCAGATATTACTAACAGGAAGTTCTTATTTCCACTATCCTTTATGTAGTAGCAGTCATCATGAATTTTAGTAATACCCAAATTTAATTGATTGGTTTTGCTTTTGCTCTCTGTATCTACTTTGTATATAAAATACATACACAGAGCATCATTTTCTAAGTTTTATTTATTTATTTATTTCTGTAGTGCTGGGGATCAAATCCAGGGCCTTATGGATACTGGCCTGGTGTTATGCCACTGAGCCATACCCCAGCCAGTCCTTGTTTTCTAGCTGTAGTAATGGCAAGCTGCATGCTTGGGTTTGCTATTTGCATCATTCTTTTATAATGTTCTTGAGGGTCATGCATTTTGATCATTTGTGTCGTAGTACTTTAGAGTCATAGTACATTAGCTAAATGGACCATGGCTTAGTTATCTATTTTCTAAGATATTTTTAAATATTGATGAGTATTTACAATCTGTTTTTATTTTTTCATGTTTTTTAAAGTTTTTGTCTTTTATCAGAGATACACCAGAGATTAAAGAACTGAATTATTCTATAAGATTTATTATGAAAAATAAAGCCTATTAATCTCCATCATCCCGTGGGGATGGGGAGATGGCTCAGTAGACTAAGCGCTTGCCTGGCAAGAGCAAGGGCCTAAGTTCAATCCCTGGTTTTTCAAAAAAAAAAAAAAAAAATCTTCAACATCCCCATCCATTAAGGTAACCATGTTTATTCTCTGTAACTGTTTTTGTGACTTTTTCCAGGTCCTTAGATGACCTCTTCACAATGCTGCCTTTTTATTTTTATGAAAGATGGCATTTAGTTTTCTTCTATTCCTTCAGATCCTGGCAACTCCCATTATACCCATTTCCATTTCCCATTCTCCATCTTTATCTAATGTAGATTAATTTTAGTTTTAATTAAGCAGCATTGAGTATTTACTGTCTAGTGGACATGTTAACACTGCTTACAATGGAAGTATATACTAAGTTACAATTGCTTTTCTGCCTTTTGTTTTTTTCTAGAATGAATAAATTAATAATCCCCCCCATAATTTGGTTAGTTTTCCATATACTTAGCACTAATTACTGCAAATGGTTTTGGCACAGGGTAGTTAGAGATATTCCACTATTTACATTCTCTTTGAAGAAGCCTAAATAGGACCCTATTTGTCTTCATTTTTAGCCAGCTGTACTCTACAATAGGGTTCTCCAGGGAAACAGAATCAGTATTTGTGTGTACATACACACACACACTCATACACAACCTGAATTGGTTCATGCAGTTGTGTAGGATGCTAAGTACCAGTTCTACTGAGTGAGTTGGCAAGGTGGAGGCCAAAGAGAAGTGATGGTTTAGTTTGAGTCTGAATCTGGATCTGAATTTGAATCTGAATGTCCCAGAACCACTAGAGCTAATGGTGTAGTTCCATTTGGAAGGCTGGCAGCATCATGTCCCAGGAAGAGGTGGTATTTCAGTTTAATTTTAATAGCAGGAAAAATGAATAGTGTGTGAAATAATTTCCTCCTACTGGAAGGAGGTACAGCTTTTTTCTTTTTTCACACTTAAAACTGATTGAATGAGGCTTGCCCATTAGGCCACTCTGCTTTACTTAACTCTACTGAAGTAAATCCAAAATTGCCCTGACAGAAATGAAATCAGTACATCTTATATTACATGATAAAGGGATAAAAGAAGAACAAAAACATCCATTTTAATCATGATTCTATTCCTTACAAAATAAAGTCCTCATTTGGGTAATGGTTTATGTGGTCATATCTGGTATTACTTTGGCTCAGTCTATATTCGTTTGCCTTCGTTAAATATCTCAGCTGGTTGTGATTCTTGACGGGTATGGTGAACAGATCTTTTCTAAAGAATTGGGGCTATTAGTAGCTTTCATTTGGTTGTTGAATTTTTTATTGAACTTAATGTCAGGAAGTGGTAATTCTAAGAGATGCCACAAGGGATATCTTAGTTGCTTTCTTATACCTGACACAACAGATTAAAGAGAGGCTTATTTTGGCTTGTGTTTCAGTCCAAGGTCAGGTGGCTCCAAAGAAAAACTAGCATGGCAGATGAAAAGCTGATCACCATGAGATACCCAGGAAGCTAAGAGGAAGAAGGGAAGAGCAGGGGAGGAAAATATGCCTTTCCAGATCTTACCCCCAGTGACCTTCTGCACCTTCCAACCAGGCCTAGGTTCCTAACAGCACAGTTAGCTATTAGCTTGTTAGTGGACTAACCCAGTGAGTACAGTGCCCATGTGATCTAATCACATCTAGAAAGCCCTAGTTGTGATTGAATAGGGCTTCAGGGGGACATCTAGACGTAAATCATAACAAGGTGTCTCCTGCACTTCTGGTGTGCTCCTCTTTACCTCCATTGTGGAGCAGCAGTCCAGTTTCCTTTTGATAGTCAGATTAGGCCTCCTAGCCAGCACAGTAATTGCCTTCTTTGCCTGTTGATTCAGAAGCACAAGCCCAGTGTGGCTGTGTAATTGTATTAACTTCAGTTCAATGCAATCAATGTTGTTGTGGTTTTCAGTAGGTAGTGAATTCCTTTCTTTCAAATTAAAACTTCTAAGTTAACAGAGCATAGATTCATGGGAGAGGAAGGACAGTTTTGCTGGAGGGTTAGTAGGCCTAATGATGAGAGGTGGCATTCTCATTTTCACCCCTTGCTCACTTTATCCTGAATCCTCATTGTGTGAAAATCAGCATCATTTATCAGACACTGATTCAGAGCATGACATTCTTTCAAAAAGTATGTAAGATTTTTTCATTGGATAGAAAAAAATAAAGCACTAATAAGAATGAAGTAAGCACAATTTATAGCAGTAAGACATAATTTTCAGTTGATCTAGGAAAAAAAAGCTTGGTATTTTCATGATGATTTTTCTCAAAATTCTGCAATGTAACATTAAGTTCATAGTCAAGAAATCACATCAAACCACTACTAGAATCTTCTGCTTGGTCATGTTTATTAAAAGCCACTCTTTTTTCCTGAGATTTCACTGCAGATTTGAGGTGGAATCAGAAGACTAAGGCTGTGAGAGTCTTGATAACCGTACAAGGCAGTCTTCCATACACCTGGGATCTCCTGCATCTGGAAATGCTTATTTTATTTGTTTATGTATGTGTGTATGTATGTGTATGTATATATGTATGTATGTATTTCGTACAGGGTCTACAGGGTCTCACTGCACAGATTGGATATAGTGATTCTCCTATTTTCAACCTCCCAAGTGCTGGGATTACAGGCACATGCTGCCACGCCCAGTCATAATCGCAGTCTCAGGGTGCCTTGGGGGTGAGGCCAGCACATATCGGGGATTGAACCCTGGTCCTTGCATCTGCCTAAGCAGGCACTTTAATCTGCTGAGCTATCTGGCCAGGCCTTCTGGAAATGCTGTTTTTTTATTTTATTTTTATTTTTTATTTTTTCCATAAATTTATTGAGAAACAAATAGCAATGAGACAGTTTCAAACCAAACTGGTAGGACAGTTTCAATAATTAACACATTGTATACATTCTTCCTAGTGGTTAATTGCTGTACAAGATGCAGACATGATATCCTGCTTACAAACACCATTAGAACAAATCCCTCTATTCACTAAGAGAATGTAACTGTATATCGATCCTAGCCATTTGAATACACAGATACAAAATGGACATTCAGCCTCTTTCGGGTCCTCTTTTCCAAGATGACGAAGAAAAGAAGGAACAACGGTCGTGCCAAAAAGGGCCGCGGTCATGTGCAGCCTATTCGCTGCA